GTGCTGGCGCTGCCGGGGGCCGCGGCGAATGGTGCGGGCCCTCAGGGTGAGTCCGCCGGCCGGGAGGAAGCGCGCTGGGGCGGCCTGCGTCTCCACGTCCGGCGTCCGCGTGGAAAGTCCGGCGTCTGCAGTTGGCTCCGCGGGCGTAGGGGAACTAGGCTGGGGCGGGTTTCCCAGTTCTCCGGGGCCACCTGCCGATCAAGACTCTGGCTTTTCTGTGCTTGGGGGCGGCAGGCCCGCGCGGTGCGGGTAACCTGTTGAGTTTCCCTGGGATGGCCCCAAGCTGCTTCTCAGCCTTTCCCTGGAGTTCTGTGGATTGAAATATGCCAACTGACTGCTGCAGAAACAAACCTGGCTTTCGAATACCCACACGGCTTCCAGGTGGAGGTCCCCCAGACGCTACAAGTTGGCTTCCAGGGCCAGTGCGGCTGTGTGGGAGCCTCGTGTGTGCACCCCTTGTTCCCCCGCGCAGGTGAGGCTTATGCCGGACCGAGGCCTCTAGGGCTGCAAGCCACCTGCGCAGCAACCTCCAGGTCTCTGTTGTCTGGAGCCCACGTCATTAAACAAAATGATGTTGTCAGCCTTCTGTGTAGGGAATTTTGTTTGCCTTCGGGACCTTGACCTTTTAGACACTTTGAGAAGAACTCTGAGTTTGTGAGAATTCTGTTTTCCCTTATCACCTACTAGAGCCCAGTCGCTATGGTCTAGTCGCTAAGTTAGAATAAGTACCTGTAAGTGGACTACAGGCTTTGTGTTTTTCAGTTCTGTCCATCTGGTGTGTATTTCTTTTAGTCTCATCCATGAAAAGATAACCAGTTTTGATAAACCAGTTTTGATAAAAGATAAACCAGGTAGTTTGAGCCCAACGCCTGCTTTTGCTGGAATAATCCGGGTGAATTAAGCAACCTTGTTTGTTGTGCTGAATTTCATTCTGTTTTGTTGAGGCGGGGTCTAGTAACACCGCAGTGCTAGCTGGCTTTGAACTCCCTACGTGGCTGAAGATTACCTTGAACTGCTGGCTTTCTAACTCATCTTCCCAAATCCGGGCCTTACAGGGTTTCATCACTCTTTTGATCTGTACCTATGAGAAACCGGAGATACAGACCTAATTCCGAGATCGGTTAAGGAAAGAACGAATAGTAAAATTGGTCGGTGCTCTGTCTTACATCAAATATTATGCTAATGTTTATGGAAGGAGGCCTTCATTTTCTCTAACTGCCTGCTTTGTGTGTGCAAATAAATCTATTTCCTCTCATGTGGTACTGATTAGAGGAAAGTGAGTGCCCTTTTTCTAGCTTTTGCTCTCAGAACACGTTTTTGTTGTTCGACTTTCTCACTGCGCTCTGTTTATGAATGTCTCACTAGAGAGGTTAGTGCTATTTGGAAAACTTGAAATGCTCTAATGCCCTGGTGCCCATAAACTAGTAGAAGCAGTGAGTTTAAGACTGTGTCACTGTAAACGGTGCTAAAAGTGAGTCGTCAACAGGACCAGGCCCTCTGGTAGTTCCTGCACTTCAAAGGAATGAGCAAGGTAGGAAGATTGCGTTTAAGGCCAGCCTGAGCTACAAAGAGAGATCTTATCTCTAAAATTTATAAAACAAAAACAAAACCAAGTTCCTGCTCTAGTCTTTGTATGTCGTATGTAATTAGTATGAGCAGCATTACAATACAAGGTGATTTTTTTCGCAGCCATACTGAAACATAGCTGATATTTGCTAGGTACATTCTCTATCATGTTCCTCACTGCCACCAATATGCTAGATTAAGATCTGTAAATCCCCTTAGGATCCTTATATACCATCTCCATTTTATAGCTGAGAAGTCTAGACTTCCAGGTAAGCTTTCTTATTTACAGTAAAACCAGTAATGTACGTTTGCCTTCACATCAGAACCCAGGCTCAGCCATTTCATCACCACGCCACATGAGCTGATGTTAGTTTTCACTCCACAGTGCTGTCCAGAATATTGTGGAAGACAGCAAACAATGTCATTGGACTTCTAGTTTTCAAGTATTATTCTGCCTTGCATGGTGGCACACATCTTTAATCCCAGCACTCCAGAAACAAAAACAGGTTGATTTCTGTGGAGTTCCAGGCCGTCTGATTCTGCATAGTGAGTTCCAAGATGGCCAGGGCTACATAGAGCATCCCTGTCTCAAAAACTAAAATAATAATAATTTATCGAGATGATGATGATGGGTGTGGTGGCACACTAATCCCAGCACTCAGGAGGCAGCCTCAGCATGGGAGCCTCTTAGTATTTTTTATGGCAAGTGACAAATACACTTTCAACAACTTTAGGGGAATAAAATAACTTACTAACTTATAACCAAAAGCATGGAGATGTCTGTTCAAACAGTCCAATATTTTGCCATGAAATGCTGTCTCGGGAGTGACAGTACTGAGGCTTATGCAGCAGTCCAGTTGGAGGTCAATCTTTGTTACAGAGTCTTGGGCAGTAGGTCCGATCACTCGCCAGTAGTTTGTACCATGAACCCAGAAGAGGGAGGAACCAGAGGATGGCTTGGTTGAGGAAGGAACAGTTGGTGATGTAACACCAAGAAGATAATGGATAGGAGAGACACAGGCTATTAGCCTGCTCTACATCCAGACTCACTAAGGAGCTGAGCAGCTTTTTCTGGGCCTCAGTCCCCGTCACACTGCAGAGCAGTGCTCCTGCCATAGAATTCCCAGGAGGCTGAGGTGAAGGGAACCTACACACACACACACACACACACACACACCCGTAAGCACTTACTATTTATTGTTGGCCACTGCTTGATACCTGCCAAGTGTATCTAAATTGATCAGACCCGTCTGAGTTCCTCCTCTCACCGGGTGATAGTCCCATCCAGAGGAAGATATTTACATAAGAAGAAATACATTTAACAGTTGGTAAATATTTCAAAGTTGTTGCTGATTTTTCTGTGTTTCTCTGGTTTGCTCTGGACGTCTGTTTTGAGTGAGGTCGTTTGTTGGGAGTGGGTTGTGTCAGAACCATAAATAACGCCTTTGTGTCTCTTTACTTTGAGAGTGACCCCAGTAGGGCTGGTCTCTGTGTGACAGGAACAATAATGGCATTACCTGAGCTCTCTTCCCTCGTGGATTGTAGTCTTTACATGGATTCCAAAGTAAACCACTAAAATGCTGCTTACCTGAAGCACAGGATTCTCTTCCCCCGCTCCCCAAATCTTAAGGTACTAGCTTAAAAATTAAAAATCCTACTGGATCTTCCCTGAAAAATAAGAGACCTACAAATGTCATCTCTGCACCAAGTGGAAGGAGGGGTGCTAGTGGTGAGAAGACTGGAGGCACCCATAAACAAAGAGAGCCTTTCTGGGGTGGTCTACATCACCCAGGACAGAGCTGACATCACCAGTGGGTGGCACATGGTGAGCACTGTGCAAGGGTTTGTTAAGGAGGCTTGCTGTGTTCTCTGAGAAAGACCTAACAATGCCGCGTCAAACTCACTGACAGCTCCCGCATTTTTCATAGCAACAGTGTTACAAGCAGAACTAGCTGGGGTACTACCTCCCCTCGAGCCTCTGCCATCCTCAGGCCTTGCCCCTCCCAGCTGTGGGTGCCCCACCCCTTCATCTGCATACTGCTCCAGGCTTACAGACCCAGTATCTGGCTAGGCATGGACTATATGTCTGATGGACACACATGTACTAAATGGCCTCTCATTTTCTTCAAGCTCACAGTTCTTTCAAAATGCAAGACCCTCTCCCGTCCCCTTGCAGCCTAGGAAGCAGAGAGAGCCTGACTGTATGTACAATGGACTGCGCTTCAACCTGGTGGCCTCTGTAAGGGACACACTCCACACTCTTCCTCAGGGCCCAAGCCTGCCATGCTGTCTTCCCATGATGAAGCATCTCTGACCTCTCACACAAGACAGTCAGACGATTGGCTTCAGTGTGCACACTCCTTGGAGTCCTAAACCGTTCACTGAAAGACAGAGGGCTCATGCTGTGTCCCATGTTGAATGTTGAATATACTTTACTCTCTTTATTTACAGGTTCTCCAGGTGGAAATGGCTCTGTGCCTCTGCCGACCTCCAGTGTTAAGGTGACAGGTAAGCTTTAAAGATTCAGGCATTCCGTCCATCTAGGTTATAGCCTGCTAGCCAGGGAGTGTATTCAAGCTGCCACAGGACCTGCCTTAACCACAAGCTCCTCTCAGGCGAATCCCTGGAGCCTGTGCAGAGGATTGCCCGCTATAGGCATTAGCAGGTCATGGTTCTCTTGATTGTTGCTGTCAGTCTAGCAAAGGTGTGGGTACTGAAAACATATGGGAAAACATAATGGGAAGCTGGGTGCCTGTAATCCTAGCCCTTGAGAGGTGTATGCAGGAAGACTAGGAGTTGGAGGCTATCCTCAGCCACATAGGGACTTCAGGGCAGCCTGGAATATGCGAGAACCCTGTTCTAGCTTGCTTTCAGTTGCTGTGATAAAATTCCACAGCCAAAAATGACACGGAGAGAAATGTTTGTTTCACTTCCAGCTCTCAGGTCACTCAGGGCAGGGACTTGGGCTGAAGACCTGGAGCAGAGCCCATGGGGGATGCTCTTTAGTGGTTTGTTTCTCGTGGCTTACTCAGCTTGCTTTCTGATACAGCCCGGGACCACCTGCCCAGGTTGGGCACTGCCAAGAGTGGGCTGTGCCCTTTACATCAGTCATTAATCAAGAAAGTTCCTCACAGGCCAGTCTGATTGAGACACCTTCTCAGCTGAGTTTATTACTTTATTTAACCATGTCATGCAACGTAGCTTGGGTTTCTCTCAAGTTCACTGTTCTGCCCCCGCCTTGTGGGGCTGGGATTAGAGGCATACAGCACCCACACCTGACCATGGAGGGCGTCCTGTGGGTCAGTGTCACGCTTTTGTGCTTTGATCTCATTAGTGCTGCCTCTCCTGCTGATGTCTGGGGAAACATAGCTAAACTTCTGTTCTGATCATAGTGATGACTGTGCTGAATTCCAGCATATGTAGCAAAATCACAGAAAACTTTCCATGGGGGAGAAAAGAACTAGAAAGATGCCCTAACTCTATTAGTGTTTATCAATTGAATGATAAATTATTATCAACAACTGTAGTAGTAATTACCATGGGGAGTTGAGTGTTTTACATATATGTTATTAGGCTATTAGGTGGCTGTCTTTTCCTGTTGGCTTATTTTAGGGGGGAGGAAAATGTGTGTGTGTGTGTGTGTGTGTGTGTGTGTGTGTGTGTGTGTATGCGCGCACGCGCATGTGTGCTCACGCGCGTGCACAGGTGGTTTTACCATTCGCCGGTGTGTAGTGTGAAGGTCAATGGTTGACCTCTGTCTCTTCCTTTGTCACCCTCCATCTGTATTATTTTTGTTGATTATTTTGTTATATTTATAGATGATGGCTTAGCAGTTAAGAGCTTTTGTTGCTTGTCTCAAGGAGTTCAGTTCCTAGCACCCACATCAGGTGACTCACTCACCTGTACACCAAGCCCTTTGACCTCAGCAGGCACCTGCACTCATGTGCACCTGTGCACATGCACACATACACACATGCAAACACACAATTATAACTAAAATGATTTTTTTAAATAAGCAAAACAGCAGGGCTGTAAGGGGAGGAAGGAATTATAGCAAGATTCTGTGTGGGAAATCTTTCCTAACTGGCGTGTAAAGCCAGTTCAGACTCAGCCTGCTTAACTCTTCACCCTGTTAATCACATTTATATTGTGTGCTTGCATTTAAGATGGCAGTAATGTGTGATGTCCATAGATTTTCCTCACAAACTGTGGAGTGGAATAATTGTACACTGTATGCCCACTTGCTGAGCCAGATGGATATTTGGGTTACCTACTTGGCTTGGTGCTGATTCAGGCACAGGCACAGTAAATGAAACAGACCTTAGTTTGCTGTCACGAGTGTTCCATCAAGGGAGGCGAGGGAGTGTAAGGAAGTAATGAACTGCAGATGGTTTTGGATGTTGATAAAAGAGGCCTGGGCAGTGGTGGCGCACGCCTTTAATCCCAGCATTCAGGAGGCAGAGGCAGGTGGATCTCTGAGTTCGAGGCCAGCCTGGTCTACAGAACTAGTTCCAGGACAGGTCCCAAAGCTACAGAGAAATTCTGTCTCAAAAAAACAAAAAACAAAACAAAACAAAAATCATAACTAGGCAATATGGTGGAGACTGGCCACAAGGTCTGCTTCAGGTTCTTCAGTGTCCATAGACCTCTACAGTGGACTGATTTAAGCTGAAATTAGAAGACAGAAAAGAGCCAGTCCTATCCAGACCAGGGAAGAGAACCTTCTGGGCAGAAGCAACTAACTAGCACAGGCTCCATGTTGCAGGTACTCTGAGACAGGAGTGAGCCTCTTCCTCCAAGGAGTATTGGCGGGACCTGGGGTGGGGGGTGTCTGCACTTCTGTCATGCCGTTGTGCACATAAAGTAGAAGAGAAAACGCTTCCATGTCAGCTGTCAGAACTCGGAGACCAGCTGCGGGTCCTGGCAACTCTGTTAACTTCTCAGGATCTTTTCCTCACAAAGTGAGGGTCGTTCTTCTGTGGCATCTGTCAGGGAGTCTGGCCCACTGCGCTCTCAGGTGCCGCAGCAAGAATGATACAACTGCCTGACTTCCCTTTCCAGGTTCTGTCTGTAATACACTGCAGTTGTAATTAGGGGCCGGAATTGTACCTGGCATGTTTGATTCCACCAGAATTGCTATACACATCCATACTTTAAGCTTTTTGTAAGTTGGTTCCTTTTTTGTTGTAACTGGGTTATCTGTGCCTCCCCCCACCCTTTTCCTGTTGTAATTCATGGCTCATGTGGAAATTTTATAGGGCATGGTAAATAGCTAACATCATTACTTGAGGCATTTTAGTTTGTGTGTGTCCACAGGTTGTGTTGGAGGTCAGAGGGCACCTTATAGGAGAGTGTTGTTCTCTCTATCCATCAGGAGGGTCCTGGAGATGGAACTCAGGGTGTCAGGCTTGGCAAGCAAACACCTTTACCAGCTGAGCCATCTTGCCAGCCCAATAACAAGTATGGTTTCAAGTATGGTTCATACTTGAAAGTTACTAAAATAATAGATTGTGAGGTCTTATTATTTTAAAAAAATGTGTAAGTTGGAGCATGATTCAGTCATTCCAAGGTAGGTCAAAGCTGTAGTACATCGTGAGTAGATGCACGATTTTAAAAGTGCTCTGTTTGGGGTTTAATTCTTTTCCAGCTGAAATTCGTAGCCATACTGTTTGAGGAACGGGAGCTCAGACCCGCATGGCCCTGCACGCCTAACACATTTGCTCACGCGGTGTTGGCTATTTGCTGGGGCGGGGCGGGGGGGGGGTGTTTCTTTTTACAAAAGAAGCAAAATTACTTTATTCAGAGCAAAAAAAAAAAATTGTAGAGGCCAGAGTGGGCTACACAGTCAAGACTGATGAGCAAGAGTGCTTTAGAACCCCATATGGTGGGCTTCCTTTTATGGAGCAGAAGCAGAGCTGCTCGCTAAGGGGTAGTGTGGGCTATTCTTTTTGTTGGATTGTTTTTCTCTTGTTCAAAAGTTTTTTCATAGGATATATTCAGATCACACACCCTCCTCAACTCTTAATAGTTTATGGCTTTCGCTTTGAATTTCCTTACTACCCCCAAGAAAGGGGAGAGAGGGAAGGAAGAGAAGGGAGAAAAAGAACGAAAGAAGAGAAAACCAAAACAAAACAGCTAATATGCTGTGTCGGGTGCCTGAGACCGGCCTGAGGACTCTGGGAAATTGGTGGGCTGTCCCCACTGGGCTGAGGAC